ACTGTGAAAATGTACCTTGGAAAATTCTATGGGCATGGGCCATGTCTGTCTTGTTCATTGTTGTGTCATCAGCACCTGGCACAGTGCTGACATGGTGGTCAATGCCTATACCTTGAGTGAATATAGGAAAGAGTTCCAAGTTCCCTAAAGCTTTGGCTCAGGAGTGCTCCAGATTTTACTTTTTTCATAAGGGGTCTTGGAAAAGGGAAAAATTGTAAAGAGGTGAGTTGCCAAGAATGAGGAATGTAACCAGCCTTGGGAATACAGTTCTGGGGTGATTTCCTTTCACAGAGTGAGTGGAAGACTTGATATCTTTGTAGAATAAGATAAAGTAAATGAAAAATATCATAATGCCTGACTTGAGGCTAGAGGCCTAAGAAGAAACTATCTTTTTTTAGGCAGAGGAGGATGAGTGTTAGAAGAGGTAGGAATATGTTAAAAGGTTTTGTTCTGCATTTTGGGTCAAAATAGCAGGGATTTTGTTCATTGATAGTAATGACATAAACACTCATGTAAATATGACTCTGTTTGTTTCTAAAACACTGAGCCTTGTACCTTGAAGAGGCCAAACTAGAGAGGGTTAACTTGAGGAGAGAAACCTCGTCAATATTATCTGAAATGAGGAAAACTCTACTATGTTCTTCTGCTCAGCACCTTATGTGTACTTCTGATCTCTGGCTGATTGAAATCCAACAAGGGGCTTACATCATGATCCTACAGTGAGGCACTAATATGCTCCTAATTGTTTTGCACATTGTAGAAAAAGTAATAAGCTTCTTTTAATCAGGCAGACAAAGAAAAAAAATAAATATCTCTTTAAATTTGTCAGAGGGGACAGCCCCATGGCATAGTGGTTAGGTTCAGTGCACTCTGCTTCAGCTGCCCAGGTTCCTGGGTTTGGATCCTGGGTGCAGACCTACACCACTCATCTGCCATGCTGTAGTGGTGACCCACGTGTAAAGTGGAGGAGGATTGGCTCAGATGTTAGCTCAGGGCTGATCTTCCTTGGCAAAAAAAACAAAATAGTTGTCAGAGCCTCATGATTCTCTTCATCCTAGTTTATTTAAAGTCTGTGTCCCAGCCTTAAAGAAGTCAATTTCCCAATGATTTCCCATTGCAGACAAGTTCCTCAATATGGGACATTGTTCTTTGCTTACCTGTTAGCTTCACTTCTTTTCACCTTCCATTTTAATATAGCTCAAATTGTACTCCCTGCCTTGCAATTCCTTGGGCATACAATACTTTGTCTTAGAATTAAGACTTTTCCTATGCTGTTTCTTACCTCTGTCAATCATCCACCTCTACATTGATCTATCTCTATCCATCTTTTATTTTTTCACTTGGAATTTTCCTTATCTTTCTTGACTTCCCCATCTCCAAGGCCTTTGTTAAATGGAGCACTCTCCCGTGTGTTTCCCTAGTGACTTGTGTTCACTTTCATCATAACGTTAATTGTGTAATATCATTGTATTATACATACTTGTTTCCTAGTTTACTTCTACTATTAGCCTCAGAAGTTTCTTGAAGTCAAGGACAGAGTTTCAGTCATCATTATTCATTGGATTCTAGACACTCAATAAGCATTATAGACATTCATTACATCACAGTTGAATGAATACACAAATGAATGAAGCCAGCAGAGCTACGAAACCATGTGCATTTCAAGAAGCAGTTTGAGATGAAAAATAGTCACAGGCAAAATTGGCACAGTAGACAGGACCAGCTTATAGTCTTTATTATAATTATACTGATATATCTTTGAAAAATCAACTGTTCAAATGTTTTCATTTAAATGTAAACATTCTTAGTTTCAAAAAATAAGACCTATCTCATTTAAGGTGAAAGGGACTCTATAAAGGACATTAAGAGGCATCCACATTTTTTAAGCAGACAAGGAGTTAAGCTCCAGCTGGGCAGCCAGGAACTATATCCGTATTTTACAGAGGAAACTCTACAGCCATTGCCCCCAGGCACAAGTGGCTTACACCAGGGCCTCTGAGCATGAGAATCTCTGCTTAGACCTGTACTGTTGCTGCCTGTGAGAAATCAACAGCCTTCAGCCCTTTGCCACCTTCACATAATTCTGCCCGCTTTACCTTACATCACTCTCTTCCTAAAAGAAGTCTAGGAGGCTGCTTCTGACTAGCCCATCTACAGAACCTACATACCTGTGCCCCAGCTGCAAGAGAGGCTGGCAAAAGGCTGCCACCTGGGGAAGTGGGACTCATTGTGTAGAAAGTTACAAAATATAGAAAGGATGCTCAGAAGGTTCGAATAAGACAAATATTCACTACACTACCTTAAGAGCATGCATGGGAGCTGGAGGTTGAATTAAGTAGCTTTTGAGATCCCTTTTCCTGTAGATCTCTGCTACATCCGTTAGTTTTTACTGCTGGTCTTGATAGATCCGAAAATGCCTTGGAGTTTGGGGTAGAGCTAGTTGCACAGATTATTACATCTTTCGATGGCTCCTGACATGTCAGTGCTAGCGTTCCTTCCTCTGCTGTTCTTTGGGACACACACCGGAAAGGATTTAGCTCTCATTCAGTGATCTCTTGGAATCCTCTGACAACCCAAAGTTTTTTTGTTTGAGTCGGTTTGAGCAAGTGTTACTGACATTTTAAAAGTAAACAAGTTGACACTGAAATTACATCAAATGATGGCAAACAGCAGAAGCTCACATTTGGTCACCCCAAGCACTTGATGGCTGTGTCTGAACCCGGGATTTGAAGAGAATAAAAAGGCCAAAATTAAGGGCTGTCATAGGAAAAGAAGCATTTGGTGGTAGTTTTAGCCTTCAGAGCCTCTCAAAGAGTCATGAGCATGCCTACATAAAAGATGAAATTAGAAAATAAAGAAGATAATTCCACTAGGTTAGATTTTCCCTTAGTTTCCTTCGAGTGGCTTTGTATGTCTCAGTTCGAGTCAGTTGGGTCTCATGATAGCTGTTGAAGTCATCAGAGCGGGGTTACTCCTGGGCACACTAACCGATAAATGAGGGCTTTAAACAAACACACCCTCCTCCAAATTATCTCCTTTCTCCCTCTGCAGTCAATATTCTGATAAGATCATAAATCTGAACAGAAATTATTTGACCAAACTCTTCTTTTTTTTAGCCGAAGAGACAGGCCAAGAGGGTGGAAAATGAAGGGCATTCCCCATCTCTCAGCAGACCTGGATCTTGTAATGTGTTGTCTACAACACCACTTTTTCCCGTATAAATTTGCATTCAGCATCTCGCCTTCATTGTTACCTATTCAATGATCTCCGTAGCGCTCTCACACGAGTCACAAGAACATCAAGTGTTGTGGTGTTTTCTTAGCATTCAGGCCACTTAACCTCAGAGCATTGAAACTGTGGACCATGCTTCTGTTGTCTCTCTCTTTCACTCAAAATTGTATGGCAACGCAGGCCCTCATTTATCTTGCTTTTATTTCGGATTCTATCCCTGACTCTGCTTCCTTCTTTTGTTTCTAAAAGTGAACATTCCCAGAGTTCTCCCCCAGCACTCTGTTCTCATGGACCATCGGACACTGAACCCTCTCCAGGTCATCAGCAATCACCTCTGTTTAGATGATTTCCCAAATTTATGCCATCCCGTAGGTATCTGACTGTGGTTGCTCACAATTCAGGAGATGTGTTCAAGCTTGATGGTTATTGCCCAACTCTAACCCTTGTTAGCTACATGGCCTTGGGCAAGCTATTCAACCTCCCTGGGCCTCAGTTCCTCACCTATAATATGGGAATTAAAATAGTACACCTACTCTAGGATTGAATGAGGATTCAATTGACCTCATATTTGTTAATGCTTAGACAGGCATCTGGTATAGTTAAGTGCTATATACATGTTTGTTAAATAAAATAAAACATAGATGTGGAAATTGTTAGCATATAGGTGGTAAAGGCGTAGACATCGAAGGAGAACAGACCACGAGACCCTCAGAAATATTCAATATTTGTCTGGGAGTAGAAGGGGAGGCCGTATGAAGTGAAACATCCTATACTGTACCTGAAGTACAGTGGGTTTTCCCATGCTTTCTACTCTCATGACTGCTTCTTGAGCTCATTCTGCTTCCTCTGACTGGATTATTGCCCTCCCTCTTGCCCATCTGTTTCACATAATACAAATCCCACTGGTTCTTCAGAGGTCCCTCCAAATGGCTTCCTTACTAAAGGACTTTGTATTGAGATCACCATCCCTGTTTATAAAACAATCTTCCTATTAAAGACTTGTTATTTGAGAATCTTCCCAAGGAATATGTAAAATTTCTTCGGGTGTAAAGTTTTTGTCATAGACAAGTTTGTCTTCCTCAGGCCCCCTAACATCCTATCTTCCCTGTAGTTGTCATTTACTTTTCAAATAACTTTGTCAGATAAATGAGTCACATTATGAATCACTGTAGGAGGATGGGGTGTGAGTGTGTGTGTGGAAGCAAAAGTGGGGAAGAGACAGGAAACATGGAAGATTAGTGAGGAAGGCCAGCATCTTTCTCCACATTGTTCTGTAGGAGACATAACACAGTTGTAAGAGTTTAGCACAGATATGAGTATGTCAGCCGACACTTCCATATTTTCCTGACAACTATGACTTCTTTCTCACAGATAAATATTGGAGTCAAAGCCTTTAGAGTTTTTCCAGCCCAATTCTCCCCTTTTTCTGATGAGGAAACGGAGGTGTGGAGAAGTTCAATGCCTGTATGAAGTCGTCCTGGAATCAGAGACTTGGTGTCTCACATTGCCTCTGCTACTTTGTAGCTATGTCATTTGAAGAATCTCTGAGCCTATTTGTTTGTCTGTTTTGACCTGTGGAATTATCTGAACATCTGTGTAGCCTTGTAAGCAACTTAATGAATGTTCAACAAACAGTAACTATTGCATGGGGTTTTTTAGTGGTATGATTCAGCAGTGGTGATGTTGCCCACATGATATCTGAAGTGACATCACTGATGCTAACTATGGCTGTTTGTGTGACAGTTGGCTGGTCTGGGGCTAGAAGCTAGGTTTCTTGATTCTTAATCTGGAGATGTTTATTATACTGTTACTGGTGACTTGGTACATTTTGTGGAAGAAAGATAGCCTATCGGCTATAATAAACCCCAAATTTCTGTGGATTTATATCATAGAATTGTATTTCTCCCCCATGTCATAATCCAGTGTGAGGCAATGGCCAGAGGCTCTTGTCTATTCCATCCTCTGTGGACCCAGGCACCTCCCAACTTGTCCTCTTGATCCAGCTAGAAGACTGGGAAAGAGAGCTGAGGGTCACACTAGATTTATAGGAGGGGGGTGGCCAAGTGGAGGACCTGACTCCATCCTGCTGTCCTCTGGCCAGATTTTAGCCCCATGACTGGATCTCTGGAAAGAAATGCAATACAGCTGTGTGTACAGGAGGGAAAGGAACGTTGGTGAGTAAATAAGCTGTTTCTATCACAAATACTGTTTTTTAAAGTTTCCAAGGTACAGTGTCTATAAATGATGCTGTCTAATCCTAATCTTAGGGAAATTGTAGATCATGGGATTGAATTTGCCTATATAAGGCTTTATCTAATGCTGCTATCGTGTGTTCTTTAAACAGAGTTCATAAAACTAGTTGTAACACAAACGACATCTTAAGAACTTTTGGGCACATGGCTTTTAGTTTTCAATTTTTAATAATGGATACTACTTGGCTTTCATGGGTTTCTATTAGGAGGAGGATGATTCCACTATATGTCAAACTTTTTTTTGTTTTAATACAAATACGGAACTAAATTAAAAATGTGTATCATTTGCCTATTTTCCATTGCCTTACATGCTTTGAATTCTAATCAAACTGGTTTAATTTATTAATTTAAAATTTTTAAATACTAAACATTAAAAATAATAAATTTGCATGCTCTAAAATATGTTGAACAATTAGGTTGGTTCTTGAAATCAGTATGCCTGACTATTAGATCCATATAAATGTTTTATATAACTGGGAAAATATGGTGGGGAATATAGAAACCTTGCCTAAATATCCTGAGCTTCACAGGAGTATCAGAGCCACTATTAAATAAAAAGGACATCTATATCATGTGTCTGGAAAGGAATTCAGAGTGTTTCAGGGTATCATTTAATAAATAGACCAGAAACTCAAAATTGCTACTTTACTCTTTATGGAGTGAAAGTTTAAAAACTTTGATGAATAACTCAGGAAATCATACATGTTGCTTTTCAGGAAATGAGTTGATTTAGAATAGACAAGGTGACTTTGGAAGAAGAATATGGAATAATTTAGAGCTTATTAAAAGGATAATACATTACTGAAGGAAGATGAAAAGATAGGTAATATTATGTAGAGATATTATAATAAAGATACATTTACGTAAAAATATCTTATTTTACTAGTACTCCTGTAAGAGTGATTTTCATTAAAAACTAATATTGTAATAATTTTCCTTTCAGAATATCAAAACAAATTAGAAAATAGGATATTTGTATTTAGGTATTTGTATTAAGGTAACACTAACTTACTCTTCAAATTTTAAAAAGAAATGAAAATGATGTTTATAAAATATCCTAAAATAAAGTTTAACATTATAGAAAGATATTTGTCTTAGAGAACAAAATGCCTTATTGGGCTTGGTTATTTCAATAACAACATTCTATTTGGATTTTTAAAAGGTGCTAATTTCTTAATGAACGAAGGTTCTTTTGAATATTGCCTTTCTTTTTATGGTGCTAGGGGCCAAAATATTTTGTTAATACTTTATTAAAACCAATATTCAGAAAGTTATAAAAGGAATGAGGTAACTGTGTAAGTTTCTTTTAACCCACACAGCGCTCTCATTACCCACCTCTGAGTTCTTTCTTTTTCTCACTGAAACCCTCTGCCAACCAAGGAAAGCCCATTAATCTACCTCACAGTCCCAACTGCTTTATTCTTTTTGAATCAATGAGGCAGAGTTGCATTACATGTGTTCCAAGTTATGTATGGACTTAGGCTAAGTAGCCTGTTTATCTGTGTTCTCCATCAGATATTTTGTGTTATGGCTTTTTAAAAAAATTTAAATCTAAGTAAAAAAAAAAAAGATTACAGCTACCTTGTAAAAATACAAGTCATTAAAAAGAACTTATGAAGCAGTCTATTTAGCCACATTTCATAACTGAAACAATCATTTCTTTCAATATTTGCAGCTGTGGTAATTGCTTTCGTAGCTATAAATAATCAACATTTGATCATATACTTATTTTCTTTTAAGGAAGATGAAGATTTAGTTTACCAATAGTAATCCCATCCATCTCTCCATCTCCTTCCCAGATATAAATTTTTAGATTATTATCTTTAGTCTATTGGTTTACTGATTATACTTAAAATAATGTGCATAAACTTGAACTTCTTGTCCCAGAAAGTCTAGGCCATTTCTCTTGACTTCCTGCTGTGTAGATGAAGATATTAGTACTCCCATCCTTCCTTCGACCTTTCATCAAGGATCAATATCTATCAGCCATAACTTTCTCTGTACAGTGTCAAGTTAATACATTTTAGATTCTTTTCTGTTCTCTTTTTGTATTATAAAGTTGAGAACCATTATATATTATTTAGCTTATGATTATGGAAACACTGCTCCCTACAAAGCAAATTCGTATGCTGTGGTTAGAATTTCTTTTCTGCTTGTCTAACATAACCCCATGAACTCCATGGAGACTATTTCAAGCATCAAGTTCAGATGGATTCTCTTTTCTAACATTCTATCAATTGATCAAAACTATGCTGTATATTTTAGTTTGGTTAATATTGGATAAAGTTAAGTTCTCATTTCATATGTTTGTTTTGTTGTTGTTAAGAAATTACAGATTTCTACATTGGGTAACTGTTGAGTGGAATGCATTGTACCTTCTCTTGAGGATATTTTTACTTAGCTTGCTGACTTCCTGTTCTAATTTGGACCAATATCTTTCTAGACCAGCTATGTAGGCATATTTTGCAGATTCTGTTTTTACCACATTATTTCTTATACCATGTCCCATGTCCTCCTTTTTCCTCAAAAAAAGATATAAGAAGTAAGCCATATGTTCCTCTATATTGAAATTTCTTTATTGTGATCTTCTTTGTGAATGATATTTATATCAATAATTAAATTACAGTTTAAATTGTTTTCTTTCAGAACTTTCATGCCATACAGTCTTGTTTATTTCAAATTTGATGCCAATTTTATCCACGTGTAGATGCTTTGTTTTTTTTTCCCACAGTAGAAATATTCGAATCATTTGTCTTTTGTTTTCTGAAATTGTACAGATTGAGTGTAAAACTGGTTCTTTTTACATTCTTTGGGCCCTTTCAAATTGAAGATCTGTGTCTTTACTGCTGGGAGATATTTTCTACTTTTTATGATTTTCTACCCTCTATTTTCTCTCTTCTCCCTCTCTGGAATATCTATTAATTGGATATTGGACCTCTTTGGTTGATCCTCTGCCTCTTATTTTTCTTCTGTCTCTCTTTCTTTTAATTTACGACAGGTTTTTCTTATTCCCTGATGGTTCCATTTTTTGCTAGCATCTTTCTTCATGTTCCTGAAGACACCAATGAGATTGGTTTTTTAATTTGTTCTGTTCCATGAGTTATGTTTGCTTCTTCAGGTTTCAGGGGTTTTTTTGGTTGGTTGGTTGGTTTCTGTTGTTTTGCTGTTTAGTCTTGATCATTCACTTTGCTGTTGCTGTTTTTTTTTTTTTAAACGTCTGATAACCGCAAGTTTTCTCTTGATATTTTATGATGATAGAAGTGGATTAATGATTCTGGACAGCTAGCTTGAGTTCCTCTTTTGTTGTGTGTGAGTTTGCTTACAAAATAAGCCTCGCTCTGAACAAAGAGGCTGACTAGGGCTCTGTGAGGGGAGGAAGTGGTCAATTTTGAGGCTTCACTTGGGGATAAGTGAGTAGTAGGCAACCAACTGCTTGGACTTGTGGTGGTGTTTTTTCTAATGGAAATTTTATGCAGAGGATTATCTTCTACTGTTCGCTTCCCATTTGGCCACTTCTAAACTTAGACTTACAATAGAGAGTGCATGAGGAAACTTCTAGCAATCTGCGCATTCTTTGTTCCTGAGGGAGATTTCTATCGTTTGTGAATTCTCGTTTCCCTGAACTGAATTGGTTTGGGTAATGTAGAAGAAAACTTCAAAAGAAACCCCTTTGCTGCTCTCTTTTAATAGTTTAATCTGACTACTGCCAGCATAGGAGTATGGGATCCAAATTTTCTGCATTCTCAGTTCACGTGTTCTGGGTGGAGATCTCTCTATCCTTAACTCTAGGAGTAAAGCAAATGACCCAGAGCTGAGGGAATTATTTCATCCCATTTCCGAGGCCACATGATTTTTTCCAGAGTAAGCAAGTATATTCCATATGGAAAAAATTTTTAATCAATTTTATATTATATACAAAAATCATTCTCCAAAATCACAAACCATAAAAGAAAATATTGAAATATTTGATGACAGTAAAATAGAAATCTTTGTTTTTGAACAGCTATAAATTGCAAGAAGGAATTAGCAAGGCAATTTCTGTTATTAAACCAAAGATTGTAATAGATATTATATGGAGAATTCCTGTCAATTAGTTAGAAAAAGACAAGAAATCCTGAATAAAAACCCTTGGATATTTACCAAGGAGGTATGAATAAGAATGTTTATTTCAATGGTGTTTTTGTAGCAAAAAATTGGAAGCAACATAAATGTCCAGCAATAGAATTAAAATATTATACAGATGTTAGTTATTATAAATGAACTAGTGCTACACATATTTACATGGATAAATCTCACAAATGTGTTGAGCAGAAAAACAAATTGTAGAAGAATATATATTCTAAGACCTTTAGAAAACATTTGAGGCATGCAAAAAATTATGTGTGTATTTTTTTATTTGTTTATGGATTAAATGTACAAATAGTAAAAGCATGAACACCAAACAAGTTAGTGATTATTATCTGGAAGGTGGGAAGACGCAAGTGAAAGGAAAGGATCAGGATATATACAGAGTGATCTTCAAGTGTATTTGAAATGTTTTATTTCGTAAGCTGGGTTTTTATTTGAATGTCTAAATGTGTTTGATTAATTAAAAAGAGAGAATTAATCTGATCTGGATGATGTCATTTGAGCTTCTGCATCCAGATCAACCCCAAGCCAGCTCTAGCCTACTGGATAGACAATGCATTTTTGCATTGTCATTGGAAGAGAAAGAGTAGCAACTTATATAGGCAGGCACTGCTGTTATGATCACTTTTCAGTGGAAAATTAGAGATTTAAATTTGCAGTTGGGAAATGTAGAATGTCTGAGACTGAATATTGAGATCTTAAAAAAAGTGGAAATTAGTACATTCACTTCTTTTCTTTGTGTGTGTGTTTGAAATTTGACACTTCTTGTTCTTTGAATGGATACTCTAATGGAA